ATGGAAAGACGCCCACTTTGTTCTTATGATCTAAACGACGGGAAATATAATATGGAGGGGTTAGAAGATTGTGACGCATGGCCGGATTATGATCAATTTTGTGAAAAAGGGACAGACGAGAATATATTGTCTATGCAAAGCAAGAGTGGGTAATGATAACAATAGTTTCATGGAGGGTACACTAGAAGTTTGGTGGTAGTTTGAAAGTATGAAACGTGCGGATTTGTTCTGGACGGCCTCCAATGATTGAATGAGGTATTCCATGCCGGGGTCCCAAACGGAGGCTGCGTACTCCAGCTTCGATCTAACAATTGATTTATAAAGAAGTTTGAGAGATGACGGCACAGAACTAAAATTCCTTCTTAAAAAGCCTAGCATGGAGTTAGCATTGTTAATAACATGTTCAATGTGAATATTCCATGAAAGATCAGATGTTATATGAATGCCAAGGTATTTATAACAGTGAACGGACTCCAGTGGAGCGCTATTAAGGTAGTAAGTAGGACAAACGGCATTACGATGGGACACACGCATTGACTTGCACTTGGTGATGTTTAGTTCCATTAGCCATGTGCAGCACCAGTTAGATATTGAGACTAGATCGGTCTGCAATAAGGTTGTTATGTGGATGCCAAGGTATTTATAACAGTGATCGGACTGCAATACTATGAGCGACGGCAGCAACTAGACAACCGGCAAGCCTGTTGTCCGGTTGCCGCCGTCACTAATAGATGGTGGTAGCTGTCCAGAGTTTTGTGTCAAGATTTGTGTGCCCACGGACACGATACTGGGGAAACTAGCCCTTAACAGCTCTGCTGTAAAAAAAAAGAGTGTGCTCAAGAGTTGACGTTAGCGATACAGGTAAGCGATCCCAGTCATTATAAGTTCTAGGAATGAATGATGCAAAGAAAAAGTATTAGTGTGACAAAATCTGCCTCGAATTGTCTTGGCACTGGTAAAATAATATCCATGGTACTACGGAACTTTGTTATGGTGTCGTGGTGGCTGTTGTATATAGACCACCGGATTCATCTATGTCTTTGTTCCTCAATAAAATGGAAGATATTCTTACATTTATTTCACAAAGCAATAAGAAATCTGTCATTTGTGGTGACTTCGACATCGATTTTGTGTAAAACTGTGCTCTCAGATTATCTACTTCTAACACAGTCATTTAACTTCATGAATGTAATAACAGAACCAACAAGAGTGACACCCGATTCATCCACGCTCATTGACCACATCTTATGTAATCAAGACGCACACGACAGTGCTGGTGTATATGAGACAAACATTGCCGACCACTTTCCAATAATCATATTTCTACCTATAAACGCTGAAGAAACACCTCACCTTAGTACACCCCATTTAAGGTATTGCATTAATTACGAACTTCTGCATAGAAAATTATCGGCATTTAACTTTAATTTACTATTCAATTCAGATATCAACATCGAACTTGGAAATTTTATCACAGTATTAAAAACTGCAATCGCGGATTTGTCGAGTGAATTAAGAAAACCAAATTATTCAGAACCGATCTGCCCCTGGATGACTCGTCACTTCAAGAGAAGAACATGTGGCAGCAGAAACTGAACCGTCATAAACATAATTCTTACTACTTGGCACAATACAAAATGCATTGCAACCTATCTCTATCACTGATAAGAATGTGTAAAAAAGAATATCACTCTAATCTTATATCCGAAAGTCATGGGGACTTCAAGAAAATGTGGAATGTGATTAACTCTGTTATCCAAGATCGCAAAAGCAAACAACTCCTGTTATAGTCACGGATGAGACTGCAGACGCATGCAATTGCTCACTAATACACTATTCGAAAGATTAATTGTACGACGCATTAACTCATTTTTAGAAAAAACAATATTATCACCCCGCATCAACATGGATTCCGTCCAAACAAGTCAACTACTAGTGCTGTTATCTCTCTCTCTCAGAAAATTAATAAGTCCTTAAATGACAATAACATTAGTATCGGTGTATTCGTAGATATTAAAAAGGCATTTGATACTGTGGACCATAAAATTCTTCCTAATAAATTACAACGATATGGTTTCAGAGGTCACTCTTTAAATTTCTTTACAAGTTATTTGTCATCTCGTTCGCAATTTATTTCTTTGTTAGATCATAAATCCTCGATGAGACAAATAAACACTGGAATTCCCCCGGGGTTCTGTACTGGGACCGATACTTTTTTCATTGTACGTTAATGACTTACCTAACATGGCTTTAAACTCTGACATAATAATGTACGCTGATGATACCGTCTTAATTTACACGGACCATTCATTGCGTAACTTACAAAACACAATCAATCAAGAACTAACAGTTCTCCAGGAGTGGTTTAATTCTAACAAATTGACTTTAAATATAAATAAAACTAAGTATATAGTTTTTCGTTCCAATAAAAAAAGATGTTAATACCGACAGCATCCGAATTTGCATCGGAAATTCGGCACCGAAACCAAAAACCGATAAGCAACCGACGTGCGTCAGCCGAGCCCCGAGCGAGTACTTCCCTCGAGGCAAAACGAAAATGACCGAAGCACGCGCGGCTTCCTTGTCGGCTCCTTTCTCGGGCATGCGCTTCCGGTGCATCTCTGACATTGTGGGAGACTGTATTGTCCCCTCGTGCATGAATGGAGTGTACACACAGGTGGAGCGAGAACGGCAGGGAGCGTCTTCGGACGCCCGGCTTCCGGCACACGGACCGCCGTTTCACGTTTCAGGTGCACAAAGGTAGGAAGTTAGTGCCGGAGGCAGGACGACCAAAGCTCCTCTTTGCCATTCTCGTCTTGTCAGAAAAGCACAAGGGGCACGTCGTAGGGGAGGTCCTTTTTTTTGTCCGACGGAACACAACAGCTGCATAGGGAGTATTCACTGGCGGCCATGGCCGTGTGCGCGACAGCTGAGCACGTGCTGATGGCGAGGTTCCGCAGTTCTTTTGCAACGTGCATTCTGCATCATTAAGATTACCAGTCTCAGCGACCTATTAATGTGAACCCGTTCTGAGTGTGCGCTCTAAACAGCACCCTCAAATGAGCGTCCAGTGAAGAGGGGTCTGGCAGAACCCGTAATTATTAAAGCAGCCACGTCGCTCACGTCGACCGCTCTTTGCGCCGGCGCTCTCGCATCAAGCTTCACCATTCCGGAAATATGCAGCACCTGCCGTTGTGTTTTCGAGTCACTACGGCAATCCTACATACAGAACGCAAGGGAGCACCCGCGTATAAAAGGAGTGGTTCACGTTTGTTTAGCATTTTGCGATCTCAGAACGAAAAAAAGAAAAAAAAAGAGGGAAGGTAGCAAAGCAGGGTACTTGTCGGCTTTGTGGTGTGATTTGCTCGGTTTTCTTTGTGTTCTAGACTCGCAGCGGTGAGAGAGAAAGACACGAGCCAGGACGTATGGAGCGTCGCAAATGCCCCGCAACTCCCTGCACCACGCGGTGCAATCTGGGATCGAAAAAGAGGCCCTGTGGCGCTTTCGGGAAAGGTCCATTACGGTGGAAAGTGTTCAAATCTGGGACTAACGTGTGTAATACTAAAATTCGACGCCCACCGAAACCCTTTAAAATAAAAATGCGAAAAAGTGTCAATGTCGTGTTTGCTGTAGCAGTGTTGTATGGTGTACGATACGATGCAATACTAACATGTACTACCATCCAATGCCAACATATTGGGTGTTTAAAAAAAAAAAAAAAAGTAAAAAACATGTTTTTTGGCTTGCGTAAACAACCTGCTCGTCGGAGGAAGCTGAAACTCTGTGAGAATGTGACACTAGCCGTTGAGGTGGAACACGACAGTCTGAGAACATGACGTTAACTGAATCAAAAGATAAAAGGGAAAGACTAAATCTCTCAAAAACCAAAGTTCACCTAAGCCTAATATTGTCAAAACAAGAAACAACACTGTGAGCGCCTTCAGGACTTATTTCGGAGAAACAAACTCAACAACGGGAAAGAAAACAATACCCTATTTTGCTGCTAGGTGTTTTTCACGACAAAATTGTCACACGCGTCAGCAACGTCGGTCCTTATTTGGACAATATTGAGATAGCTTAGGTGGACATCGGCTCATTCAGAAATTCACCTTTTCTCTTTTATCTTCTGATCTAGGTGACGCTAAAGTCACTGGATCCTGGGAAAGTAGCGCCATTGCCTTCCCTACCTGCTAGCCGGGCACAAACGGATACTAACATACACACGACCCAAACCTCGCAAAGCGATTGGCTAATTGGTCTAGTTTGTGATGGAAATCGCCATCTTGGTCCATTTAAATCTTCGAAGCCTCCAGGGGGTCGTTCTAAACCAGTCGCGCCAAGATCACCATGGAGCATCATCGTACTGGAAGCGTTCCCCACCAATTTAAGAGTCTTTGGCACTTCGTATGCGATCAACTTATTAATCATGCATATCTCCATGGATCTCTTACTATTGTATTGTTCATCTTGCCTATTTCAAGACAGTAAACTTATTTTTCAGTGCCTCCAAGCACCGGCCCAGCATGCGGTGGTGGTACAAATATGTGCGCTTGTTTCGCCGGTGTGTGGATAGCAAACTCTCGGTATACAATAAACGCCTCCATAAAGCTACCCGTCACCAGCGAATTTAGATCCGCTCACCAAGAACGAAGTGGTCAAAGAGAAATTGCTCATTTCACGGACCAAGATGGCGACCACACGGGGAGCTTGGCATTACTTTCCCAGGATCCAGTGACTTTAGGTGACGCCACATGCCCCAACTTTCGCACTCTATGCCAACCGCTAGCCTCACACCCATGGAGCAACAGCTTCCTGCAATGCGCATTTGATTTATCCAAGCAGGAAAACACCTTTTGTTTTTCTCCTCGAAAACACTTTTTACAAAACGATACGACAGAATGCCTACCCAACGCCTGCACGCTTCCTCACCAGTCCGTTGGTCCGACTGCAGGAGTAGCTGCAGAAGCGGCACTGGTGGCGGCCCTTCTTGCGCAGGTGCATTCGCTTCCAGTGGCCCTGCAGATAGGCCCGCGTTGAGAACAGGCAGCCGCAGTCGACGCACCGGTGGCTCAGGTCCGGGGTGATCTCCTCAAGCTCTGCTGCGCGTGAGGAAGCAGACGCCGAAAATAAGTTAAAGGCGGCGCAAGAGGACGCCCAAATGAGAGGGACTCTCTCCGCCTTGAAGCACTATCGCTTTTCCCCCAACTGCACTGCAAAAATTCTAGTCTGCTGCAATGCAATATCTGCAAGAGAAGCACTGCCAGCAGCGCAAGCTCGTTGTCTTTCGTCGCACTTTGGCGACGCACGCCCAAGCGTCATCCTAAGTGGAAAGCTCGACTGACGCCACTGCCGCAGATGGTGAAACGACTTTTCCTTTTCTTACGAGAGCCAGCCCTTTTAAACACTTTGACCCACACTCAATAGCACGCCAATACTGAATGCACCACAAATGTGCGCAACAAAAATAAACATGGAGTAGAAATATGCCTGCCAGTGGTTGGCCGACTGACTGTCCGCGTTCTTAATGATTTAGCCGGTAGGCCGGGATCGCATATATTTTAGACCGAATTCTAAATATTTGAAAATATAACAAATTTTCAAAACCTCAGGCCCATATTAACTTGTGCCAGGGTAGTTAATATATTTTTAACGAACCCAATTATCCCCCTCACCCCCAGGTACAAAACGTGGAAAAAAGTGTCACTTCGTAAAAAGTGTCCACAAAATGACATCTCGTAGAGAAATTAAGCAAAGGCCAGTCCACATAGTTGCGTTTGACTGCAACCGACAACGCTACAACTAAAGTCACTGTAAAGTCCCAGAGTATTGCATTCCTTTTCTTTTTGCGTTTTGCCGACAACATACTCACTCTAGCCGATCGTGTTTTGGCTTGTTGAACGTCACTGGACAGTAGCATTCACTGACACAAGCACCGCTAGGCTCACCTCCATCAGTGCTTCAAGCGGCTCAGATCGCGATCATCTTGGGCCCAGTAAACAACTGCACTCACGCACGCTCTGCTGCTCATCGAACGCGCATTTATGCGCAGACTTTTCTATGCGGTTACTGACGTCAAAAGCAAGGAGGTTGTATACTTGCGACACAATGCCTGCTTGTTGCGCTTTTGGGTGCAGCAGCAGGTTGGAGGATGGAAAGAGACTTTTCCGGATACCGTTTGGAAAGGATGCAACTACAAGATGGAGAGGAAGAAGGCTTGGCTGACCATAGTAAAACGGAAAGATTTCGAGCCCACTGCAACAAGCAAGCTTTGTGAGGTGAGTGCCGATTACAGCTGGGGTCATTCCGCGTATCCCTCATTGCCTCGCAGTCGAACAGGCGTCAAATGTGTTCGATTTCGCACAAGTGATGCTCTTGCGATTTGGTAATCCCCGTCGACGCGTGGACACAAGATGGCGGTGCCACGGTTTCGGTTTCAGCTTCGGAGTTTCGTTACTCTGGGAACCCATACGGTGACTCTCGCTACAACTGGTTCTTAAGCTGGTCGTTACTGCTTAGAACCGCCTGCACTGCTGTGCAGCTGCTCGATTTTGGGTTTGTTGTTTTATTGTGTAAACTGAATCTATGTGCCCTAAGCATCTTAGAAAACCCCAAAATACAATCATGTGTGGCCTTTCTTCATTAAAAACACGACCAAACATTGTGGCACGCCCCTTTTCCGAGATATATCCCAGAAAAGGGGCGTGTCAGGATGTTTGGCAGCATTTTTGATAGGGAAAAAGGTCACACATCACTGTAATTTTTTTTTTTTTAACACGCCTGGGGGGCATAGGTTGGTTTCACATTATAAAAAGACAATCTCAAGATCCACTTCTGTGCCTTTCTAAGATGTTTACAAATCATAAAACATACATAACAAACTACAAAGGGTGTGAGAGCTAGGAAAGTATGCAGTCCTGCGACTGCAGTGTGCCCACAACACTGGGTGGGCATTTTACGAGACACCAGCAAAGGTATAGTTAAACATGGAAACAGTACAAGATCGCAACAAACTTCACGTGCATGCTTATGAACACAAGAGATGGCACTGATCAGTCATCCACAACAAAATGCTGTTAACCTTAAGTCCCATAACATAGAAATGTAACCACAATTGTAAACTAGCCAGAATATAATCAATCAATTTACACCAAAAAACTGGTCTCAAGTGTACTGCTTATCAATGCACAGATAAAAAAATGTGCTAAATGCAATACCAAGCATGCATATTCAAATTGAAAAAGGGAAAAAGTAGATTAAAAAAGAGATAGAAGGGAGAAAAATTAAATATTAAGACAACAAGATTTTGGTGGTTCATGTAGCACAAGTGGCCAATCACTTTTAACAAAAAGAAGCCGAGTGAAAGAATCATGACTTCTGGAATGCTTGTGGCTGCATTGTGCTGGTTTTTCTTCACATGCGCACGGAAGGCTTGACGTCTGCAAAGCTGAAAAACACAAAACACTGAATCAAGACATCTCCAAATCTGGTGAACAAACAGCAGCTAAGTTCTCATACTATGCAATCCAACAATGAACCAGCTAGGCAGAATAAGCAAGTGGGCCCCAAAGCACCAGACATGTGCTCAATTCGGACATATTGTCAACCATCCCTTGGCACTGAGGGTGCTCATACTCTTTTTTTTCTTTATCTCCATGAGTGACCCATCCCATATTTATTGGTTAGTTATGTTTTGTTCCACATCTATCTGAAGACTGAAGGCGTGCCAAGCCCTAATTTGCAGTACTCTCCTTAATTTTGCAATCTTTGGATGGATGGATGAATGTCAGCGAAATCCCTTTAATTGGCCATTGACTTGTGCCTCCTAGCCGGCATGCTGTGCTTTGATCCCCTAAGATATCTCTGAAAGAAACAGAAAAGTAAAGCAAGGATCATTTCGGTAAGACACCGTACACATTGATTTGTAGTTTTGTTTCTGCAAACTCTTTGCAGACTAGGAACAGTTAGAGTTTATACAGCTGTGGGCTAAAACGGAACAGTTAGGGTTCATACAGCTCGGGGCTAAATGCGCCTTGAGACAGTAAAAGTAAAACAACATGGCCGAGACCCATCGAACATATTTTTCCTTCTTGGGGTAGACATGCTAGATGTCTAGTCACAGTGCCCCTGGTGCATCACTTCGTGGGCCAGCCCATCCCCACTCAGTGTGCCCGACTAGTGCGTCGTAATCACATAATCCCTCCAAGCTCCCCTAGGTTTTTGCTTTGTCACACAGTGGCAATTCACTCCACACTAAAGACACCGAGAAACCACAACACCTATGGGTGACACGCAAAAAAAGAGCCAGGCTAAAGGGGATGACGGAGCATCAAACGAAGTTCCCAAGTACGCAGAGCCAGATTTACCCACTACACCCATCATCCTTCCATCCTTCACAAATTCCACTAAGTCTAGGATTTGGCAATATGTTTCGTAGCTTTTGAGCAAGAAGTACCGCAAAAGATCACCAGGGTTGCCAAGATGATTTTGTTTTGTTGGCGTATAAAGATTGGATGTTTGTGGCACTAACGAGAATGAATTAAGACGAGAATCTCATCAAAGTGCTTTTGGGGAGAAGGCTGTGCTTTTGGGGAGAAGGCTAACTTTAGAACTACATCCACAGAAACAAAAACAACTATGAAGCAGCGCTCGGCTGCCATACCGTCCGGCTGGGGCTCGTCTCCTCCTGCCACCCAAGGAGGGCCGCTTTTGTAGTTACTCCGGCCTGCGTGACCTAGAGCACTATAAGGCTCCTTCGGAGCACAGTAGCGCAATCTAGAACGCCATCTCTCGGCGACTAGCGGCAAACGTTTGGGGGTTCCAACTCCGGTCACAAATGAGTAGGGAATGTGACAAAATGGTTTTTTCTTCTATATTTTGGGGATGTACAGAACCGCAATACCGTATTTACTCGCGTATAGGTCGACCTGTTTTTCAAAAATCGCCTCATCAAAACTGGGGGGTCGACCAATACGCAAATCCCGGTATTATATTTTTCAACTTTTTTTTTTTTCGGGGGTCCCGAAGTTAGGGGGTCGACCTATACGACGTATCGACCAATATGCGAGTAAATACGGTAGTTTCTGACATAATAAAGGAACATTTTACGATAATCTGCGCTAAGTTGTGTGCCACGTAAGAACGTAAATTAAAAAAGAAAATTGTCTGAGCGGCATCATGCACAGACAAGGCGGAGCAATGGAGGACGATCGCTGGAAAGCAGCCAGAAGCTAAATGCATCGATGGTCTCTCACGCTGTTCAGAAAACGCCGCTCACATGAACCGCCCCGGCCAACCCAAAAAATCCATCTCTGCTGCAAAAAATCTGTTTCAAACACCGTTGCCTTGGAAATTGCTTTCTCGAAATTTTCACATGCATCCAATATTATGAAAACTTTGATAAAGTATTTAGTGCTTTACCAACTTCACGACAGACTAGTTTCGAAAAGTGTGAACTCGGCATCTGTTTTTTAGTCAGCCGTGTAGCATCGACCTCCATGTGTTCTCCCATAGGACAGGCACGTCCTGGAGCCGTGAGTACCACGTGACTCGCACTGAGCTGCTCTGTCGGCAAAACGCGCGGATCAAACGATTGCGTTACTCTGCTCCTAGGAGCTATATAGTGCTCTAGCAGAAACAGTGCAGCATGCACCATGCATGTGATTAGCAGCTGCTCAGCACGAAGGCCGAAGAGAGTCAAGCTCGTATTTACGACGACTGCTTTCAGGACAGATCAAGCTCGTTGCCCCCATCCTGCCAACGTCACTCCGTTTATTGTCCACACTTTTTACGCTACGTAAAAACTCAAGCCTACAGGCCCTGAGTTGGGTAAACAGCGAGCTTTGGGGAAAACAAAGAGGAAAGAGTGTCCCCTATAGTTCAATTTCCTCGTCAATAATGCAACACCAACCAGGCTGCACAACACCACAGCTGAGCAATGCGGTGTGGTGACACGCCAGGATATGCGGACCATTTCTGCCTCCCTCTTCGAATCGGCTGAAAGAAAAAGATCATCAGCGTCTTTCATTTGTTGAAACAAGCCTCGCAGCTCTTTAGCAAGCATGCTTGAGGAATGTTTCTTTTAAATGACATACAATACCCGTCAACACTAAAAGCACTTCATCTGCATTACATTTTTGATAGATTTGAAGGTGGATGAAACAACTTATTTCACTTTGCAAGGTTTGGCCAGAATTTTTTATACAGAATTCAAGGACCTTTTGAGGATTTCAAGGGAATTGGAAGAAAAAGAATTTGAGGCAACACAGAGCAAAAGGGGCGATGACACGGGATGCCTCGGACTTTAAAACAAGTGCAGGCTGCATGACGCAATCATGACAACGATTTCCGCGAATGTGGGCGGCTTCGCGACGTGAACTGTCAGATACGATCCTAGCCCGATTAAAGTTGTCACATGTGTTTCCCGTGCATGGAGCAAGCACATCTGGTAGAAAAGACTACATGTTTTTCCGTGGCCAAAATCTGACCGTGATGCATCTAGCGGCAAAAAAAGTGTTCCTCCATGTCGGTTGCCAAGGTGACCGCTTTTCTCCCGCAATAATGTTGTGCACCACTACATGCATTGCCATGGCTTGGATGAGTGAAGAGCAGTGAAGTGTATCCCCTTCCATGTAAATCAACATCATTTCCAGAGAAAGCACCCGACTCTTTTTTATTTTATTTTTGGTAATGTTATCTGACCGCCTGCACTTCGGAGTCTCTGCATACGCTTCCCATCACTGAACTTCTCAGACCGTTGCAAAAACATGTTAATTTCCCAAATTTCAAGGAATACAAGAAGCATTGAAACTTTCAAGAAAATATAAGGGCCCTTGAAAGGCTTTTATCAAAATCCTGGGTATTCAAGAATTTCAAAAAGCTGTATAAACACTGCCCAAAAAAACTACTGCTAAAAAAAATGGATTATAATTTACAAAGCTTTTGCGTTTAAAGGTTGAAATTTTCCATGGTGCAGGCTATATAGAGGTGCGGACTAGACAAGGGCTTGTTTTTTTCAAGAACGTTCATTAGGACAAGACAGGACGGGCTTTGAGAAAAGATTGTGTCAATGACGATTTCTGTATAATGCAATAGCAGACATTTGGCAAGGTGCACTGAGCCTGAAAATTATTTGCAGGCTACAGACCAGGTGCAGTCTACACACCAGGTGCAGACTCGGTGAAGATTACCTACGAATAACTTTATATTTTGGGCTGAATTTTGATTACAAATTTTACAGTGGGTGCATACTATATAAGTGGCCACATAGACCTTACGCTGTTAAACAAGTCGTAAACATTGGCGCCTGCAGATAGAAAGCTTATACTTTCAACGAATGTGCAACAAGGTGGTCAATTATAGTTTGCAAAATTTCGAGGCATAATTATCGTCCTGTAAAACCAACAAACTTGTCAAAGGCTTTATTTGCAGATGACGAAGTTAGGAATTAATACACCTTGTATATACCATCTCACGACTGCCACACACTTTGCTCCGTCATTCTAATTGGCTTAGGAAACTTGTAAGTGCAAAGAGAGACAGACGCAAAGGGGACATGGATGGGTGTCCCTTTCTTCGTCCGCCCCCGTTTATGCTCACAGCTTCCCTGAGCATCATGCACCAACCAGCCAAACAACAAGTTTAACTGGCTTACGGAGGCTGTCGAATTGGCCCTTTGCCGAGTTACAATGAAGCGTACTGTAAGCTGGCTTTATGTTGCAAGCACCGTGCAAGAAAGGCCGATGGTGAAACCGGCGATCCACTCACCATGTCGACGTGTTCTTACCGATGTGAAAATTGCGTCCCGGTGTAGCAGCCTTAGCTTGTGGATGGCAGTGGTAGACCTGGGATACTTCAAGACCAAACCAAGTGTTGCAGAGTGGGTACAGCCTCACACATCCACAGTCACGTCCGGCTTATGTGGCAGCTGTCAAATTGAATTTCATTTGAACCGCAGAGTTCCATAAAACATAACCGGTGCTCTTTTATTCTGGCATGACGGTATGCATGTCGCTCCTTATCCAAAAAACCCTGACAAAGTGCATAAGTGTTAAAATAAATGGGACATTATTGTTCATGTTTACGATACTGAAAATTGGCAGTCCGAAGAAAGCCTGCCACTTTTCTAGTTCCCAGTTTGATATTTTTTTTTTTTTTTTTAGTGTGAAGTAGCGTGGGCTAGGGCCAAACCCAGGGGGGGACTTTAGAATTCTGACCCCCCGCTCCCTTCACGCGCTGTGTGAAAAAATTCCGTGACCCCTTCTTTCCATATTGCACGACCCTACTCTCCCTGTGTAAACTTGCTTCCTAGAACCAAGACATTCTGTCTAAAGAGGAAGTGAGAAAGGAACTGCTTCATTCTCTTGACTCAACAATTAAATTCTGCTCAATTGAAGACTGTCACAGGCCTACATCTATCTCCCAGCTAGCTCCTCAATCACATTGTAGTATAGCTGGAAAAAAAAAAAGAAAGGGAAGGAGACCTTTTTGTGCAAAAGTGTGTGTGTGTGTGTGTGTGTGCATTTGCATGTGTGTGAGTGAGTGGGGGGGGATGATAATCCCCAGTGGACACAAAAGCGACAGGCAAAGAACTCAATCTAGGTCAACGCAGTTCAGTGGAGGGAACAGGATCTAGCATGATAGCCTCGGGGTCTTGCAATGCACCTGTTTCTTTTTCATGGTAAGAGTGTGTTTGGAACCGAAACCCTTCCTAATGGCACCATTAATTTGCTGGAGTTTTCTACCAAGGAACCCTGGAAACAAGCCTCTGACAGGGAGCACTAGTTTTTCCGAAAGTGGTGGATTAAATGTGGTAAATTCCACAGTAACCTGATCCCAACGGCTGACAATTATTAAAAGCTTAATTAAGAAGGCCAACTTCAACGACCTTTGCTGTGCTCAAGATTACATCACTTCAGCATAGCATGAATGGCTATGTTGCCTGTCTTGTGTAGAAAGGCTGCTTAAAACCAAGCTTTTGCCGCAAAAGGCATATTCAAGACTAGGCATGCGCGACCTAAGGCGAAAATAAACAGTGGCGACAAGGGAAAAGTTTTGTTCTTCGTACGAAGTGCGTCACGGTTCCTTGCGAATGATAAGTTCGCGAATCATTCTGCTCGAGCTAGTTCTGCTCATCATGCCAACCGTCGGCAGAATTGAACCTTTTGAAGGGGGAGGAGAGGACTGGTCGTCCTACGTCGAGCGTCTAGAAGCTTTCCTTTCGGCGAACGATGTCGTCGCGGCAAAGAGGCAAGCCATTTTTTTCAGTTGCCGCGGTGCAAAGACGTACGCTCTTTTTCGGGACCTGGTCAAGCCTGCCAAGCCTCAAGATAAGTCTCTGAATGAGGTTCTTTCCGTCCTCGGCAACCATTACTGCCCAAAGCCTTCCGCCGTCGTCCAGCGCTTTCGTTTCAACTCGCGTGCTTGCTCCGACGGGGAGTCTGTGAGCAGCTACGTCGCAGCATTGAAAAACTTGTCCGAGCACTGCAGCTTCGGAGTCGAGCTTGAAAACATGCTGAGGGACCGTGTTGTCTGCGGGATTAAAAGCACTGCAATCCAGACCAGACTCTTGGAACGGCCAGACTTGACGTTCGAGGACGCTGTGCAGACCGCTGTGGCCATGGAAGCGGCGAAGAGGGACGCCGGGGAGATTTGCCAGACCAGCTCCGGCAGTGCCGCGTTCGCAACGCATCGAGTCACGGCACCTACGGGGGGCGTCACCTGCTACCGCTGCGGAGACGGACACCTCGCATCCGGCTGCAAGCACGTTAAGACTACGTGCAACTACTGCCGAAAGCGAGGACATCTATTGAAAGTGTGCAATTCTAAGCAGAGGGACACCCAGTCATCCAGGAAAAGTTCTACCAGGCAACGCTTTTTGGGGGGCAAGCGTGCCCGTCCCCAGGAACAGAGACGGATCCAGTGAATGTCGTCCATGACAACGCTGAGGACAACAGCGCATCGCCCGAGGTTTTCGACATGTGGCAAGTTGACAGCGTCGCGCCGTCACCGCCGTTCACCGTCACCGTCTACGTGTGTGGCAAGCCACTCTGCATGGAGGTGGACACAGGCGCAAGTGTCTCTGTCATCGCCAAGAAACGTCTGCAGGCACTGGTGCCTGCGATACGAGTCATGCCCCAAGACCCAAGTTGAAGGCAGGGTGGACGTCAGCGTGCAGTTCCACGGTAAGAAGGCCGTGCTGCCATTGTTCGTCACCGGAGATAAGTCGCCTACACTACTTGGTCGCAACTGGATTCGGGAGCTTGGCCTCAACTTCTCTGATGTGGAGGTAACTGTTCATTCTCTCTCTGACGTCAGAACTCTAGTTCAAGAGTTCTCTGCTGTTTGCGAGGGACGGCTGGGTACTTTCAAGGGGCTCAAAGCCAGTATTCATGTTCCGGAGAATGCTCCACCGAAGTTTTTTAAGCCGCGTCCACTACCTTTCGCACTCAAAGATGGAGTTGCACAGGAGCTTCAACGTCTAGAAAGGGAGGGCATTATTGTACCAGTCAAGACATCAGCCTGGGCTGCACCCATTGTTCCTGTTGCCAAGAAGGATGGACGTGTCAGGATTTGTGGCGATTTCAAGGTAACCATGAATCCGGTGGCCACCCTGGAAAAGCGCCCGATTCCCAGAATCGAAGACTTGTGGGCCATGCTGTCTGGGGGTAAGAAGTTCACCAAGTTGGATCTGAGGGATGCTTACCGGCAAGTGATTCTTGAGCAGGACTCGAGGAAGTATGTCACCATTTCCACACATATGGGGTTGTTCCAGTACACCCGCCTTCCTTTCGGAGTGTCGTCCGCTCCAGCTATCTTCCAACGGGAGATGGAAAACTTGTTCCGAGGGCTGCCGCACGTCGCTGTGTATTTTGATGACATCCTGGTCACCGGCGCGACTGACTCGGATCATATGCACAACCTTCGTTCCGTTCTCAAGCGCCTTTGTGATGTCGGACTGAAGTTGAAGTTCGACAAGTGTCATTTTTTTGTGCCGCAGGTTGAATACCTTGGGCACATTATCAACCAGGAAGGGTTGTCTCCAGGCCTGGGCAAAGTAGCGGCCATACTTCATGCTCCTGCTCCTTGCGACATCAAGCAGCTTCAGAGCTTCCTAGGATTGATTAATTTCTACAGACGTTTCCTGCCTAACCTGTCTGAACGCCTGCGGCCACTGCACTCGCTTCTTACGGACGGGAAGAAGTGGGAGTGGGGAAAAGACCATAAAGAGGCTTTTACCACAAGCAAGCACTTGATGACGTCCGCGCCGGTTCTAGCTCATTTCAATCCAGAAATGCCGGTATGCTTGTGATGCATCACCATACGGGATCGATGCAGTTCTGGCGTACCTTGAAGCCGATGGCCAAGAGCGACCCATTGCTTTTGCATCAAGGAGTTTGTCCCGAGCAGAACAAAACTACAGTCAACTTGACAAAGAGGTGTTAGGCTTGGTCTACGGGGTGGAACGGTTCCACCAGTACTTGTGGGGGACCCCTTTTCAAGCGTTCACAAACCACAAGCCCCTGCTGGGATTGCTGAGTGCTGACAAGCCAGTTCCTGTCCACGCGTCGCCTCGGCTTGTCAGGTGGGCTCTCAAGCTTTCAGCGTACGAGTACCAGCTGACCTACAAACCAGGAAGGAATGCAGGTCATGCTGCCGCAGTCAGTAGACTTCCATTATCTGGGAGCAACGTTGAAGGGAACGGGCCGGCTGACGTCTTCATGCTACAGCTCGCATATCCGAATCTTCTTTCACCCTCCGTTGTGGCTCAAGCCACAAAGAATGACCCTGTTCTGGGACATGTCGTTCTCGCTGTTCTCAAAGGAGAGAACCTTGCACTAGCATTAGAAACGAGGCCTTTTTGTGCAAGGAGTTCAGAGCTTAGCCTGCATAAGGGTTGTTTGCTCTGGGGAGCACGCATGGTGATCCCAAAAGTGCTGCAGGCTCGAGTCCTGGATCTGCTTCATTCCAGCCACCCAGGCATCGAGAAGAGCAAAATGATAGCCAGAAGTCACGTCTGGTGGCCGGGTGTCGATAACGACATAACCCACCATGTGAACAGCTGCTCAATTTGCCAAGCTCATCAGCGGGCTCCACAACCAGTTCAACAGACGCCCTGGCCGTTCCCCCAGAAGCCTTGGTCCAGGCTTCATATTGATTTTGGAGGGCCATTTATGGGGCATACCTTTTTGGTCATTGTGGATGCTTTTTCAAAATGGGTCGAAGTGTTTCCTGTCTCGTCAACTTCGGCAGGGGCTACCATAACAGCCCTGCGGATGGCTTTCGCTCAGCACGGTCTACCAGATCTGATTGTGTCAGACAATGGGCCTGCATTTGGAAATGAGCAGTACTTGGACTTTCTAACATGCAACGGGATATGCCACATGCTCGTGCCGCCATATCATCCAGCGTCAAACGGGACAGCGGAGCGTGTTGTACAAACCGTTAAAGGGGAACTCCGCCGACATTTTGAGCTACCTAATCCAAAGGCATAACTGAATGTGGATGGCTTCCTGATTCCGAAATGCTATGGCGTTCTCCCAGATTCACTCTAGATAATTAAAAAAGTGATATTTTGTTTGCTGCCGAAACCGAAACATCGTTCTCCCTAGTTTTTCCCCAGTTTTCCCCGCCGCCCAAGCGTGACGTCACTTGTGTGCAGCGAGGCGCGCGGCCGGCAATCGGGTACGCTCGCGCCCGCCTTTCTCGCGTCTAACAGCAAAAGAACCTGGCCGTTCGTGCTGTTTGAAGCTGATAATTATCTATATTTGCACATAGTATGGCCTTGGCCTATGTGCCTAACTACAAGAAAGTTAAAAAAAACAAAAAAAAACAAAAGCAATTGCAATTTTCATAAAACCGTTTTTGCAACTCGCTACGCTCAAGCTAGTTTCGCTTGAGTGTAGCTCGCTAGTTTCGTAATATCGC